ATTACAGCAGGGTTGCTACAGGATTACAGCAGGGTTGCTACAGGATTACAGCAGGGTTGCTACAGGGTTACAGCAGGGTTGCTACAGGGTTACTACAACGTTACAGCAGTGTTGCTACAGGATTACAGCAGGGTTGCTACAGGGTTACAGCAGGGTTGCTACAGTGTCATAACAGGGTTGCTACAGGGTCATAACAGGGTTGCTACAGGGTTATGGCAGGGTTGCTACAGGGTTACTACAACGTTACAACAGTGTTGCTACAGGATTACAGCAGTGTTGCTACAGGATTACAGCAGGGTTGCTACAGGGTTACAGCAGGGTTGCTACAGGGTTATGGCAGGGTTGCTACATGGTTACTACAATGTTACAACAGTGTTGCTACAGGATTACAGCAGTGTTGCTACAGGATTACAGCAGGGTTGCTACAGGGTTACAGCAGGGTTGCTACAGGGTTACAGCAGGGTTGTTACAGGGTTATGGCAGGGTTACTACAACGTTACAACAGTGTTGCTACAGGATTACAGCAGTGTTGCTACAGGATTACAGCAGTGTTGCTACAGGATTACAGCAGGGTTGCTACAGGGTTACAGCAGGGTTGCTACATGGTTACTACAATGTTACAACAGTGTTGCTACAGGATTACAGCAGTGTTGCTACAGGATTACAGCAGGGTTGCTACAGGGTTACAGCAGGGTTGCTACAGGGTTATGGCAGGGTTGCTACATGGTTACTACAATGTTACAACAGTGTTGCTACAGGATTACAGCAGTGTTGCTACAGGATTACAGCAGGGTTGCTACAGGGTTACAGCAGGGTTGCTACAGGGTTACAGCAGGGTTGTTACAGGGTTATGGCAGGGTTACTACAACGTTACAACAGTGTTGCTACAGGATTACAGCAGTGTTGCTACAGGATTACAGCAGTGTTGCTACAGGATTACAGCAGGGTTGCTACAGGGTTACAGCAGGGTTGCTACAGGGTTACAACAGTGTTGCTACAGGATTACAGCAGGGTTGCTACAGGATTACAGCAGGGTTGCTACAGGGTTACAGCAGGGTTGTTACAGGGTTATGGCAGGGTTGCTACAGGGTTACAGCAGGGTTGCTACAGTGTCATAACAGGGTTGCTACAGGGTCATAACAGGGTTGCTACAGGGTTATGGCAGGGTTGCTACAGGGTTACTACAACGTTACAACAGTGTTGCTACAGGATTACAGCAGTGTTGCTACAGGATTACAGCAGGGTTGCTACAGGATTACAGCAGGGTTGCTACAGGGTTACAGCAGGGTTGTTACAGGGTTATGGCAGGGTTGCTACAGGGTTACTACAACGTTACAACAGTGTTGCTACAGGATTACAACAGGGTTGCTACAGGATTACAGCAGGGTTGCTACAGG